AGGGTTACCTCTTAGTTGGATTTTTGGATTGTTTGGTTTGTTTGTGTAGATTAGTTAGGATTCGAACCTCTGTGTAATCTGACTTCCGGACGAGTTCTAGCCTAGAACCAATCCTCACTTTTTCAACACACAATACTACGCATTACTGCATTAACCTAGTCGTTTAACGTTAAGTACATAATAGAATTGCCCATCTCTACTTCTAATGCAAAGACAAATCGATTTGAGGGTTGAGTTTGTGTTAATTAGATTATGGTTCCAAACCGGTTTACAAATTCCTCGTCAGGTCAATCATAGATTTCATGTAATTTTTCTCTTGTGATAAGTAAGCTACCGAAGTTTGGCCGTGTCGAATTAAGGGGTACAATGCTAAAACAATAATCAAGGTGATATAAATAACTAACGAATCAAATTGCATCGTATTTTTTTTTAAACTATAAGTTAGTTCAAGCTTAACCTACATTAAATAGAATTATTTTTATATAACTCCAATAAAATTAAAATAAAATTCGTTAAAAGTTTTAAAAATGTATTTTAATTTTAATTTTAATTTTTATTAAAAATTATGCAAAATTGGCTCTACATACGTATTTCAATGTAGAACTAACCTAGAACTATAACTGATTATTAAAAAATATATAGCTGGTTTTTTTTTCGCGTATAGTTGTATCGCGTGCATAGTATTACAATAAGCATAGTAAGCATAACATATATAAAATAAGAATTATTAAATAACGTGTTGTGATCAATTAACGTTACCAGGAGTTGGAATAAAATTTGAATTTTGATAATATTTTTTATATACACGATATCCAGCAAATGATAAGATTCCAACCAAAAATCCACCTATGGCAACACCGAAATATATTCCAATATTAGGGGTAGTTTGAGCTGGAATAGGAGTACTTGTTGCTGGAGAAGTGGCAACAGATGGTGGTAGAGCGGTGCCAGAAGGAGCCAGAGGACTAAAAACTGTGAAAGTTCCAGTGTACTTCTTATCAGATCCATCATTGAGAGTAAGGTAGTAAGTACTCGGAGGAACTTTGACCGTCCATGAGTAAGATTGTGAAGCAAGGTTTATTGTATTGCTAATTACGGTTGTGCTTTGAGTTGTGTTATCGATACAGCTTAAAATGCCTGAGATCGCATTAGTTTGTGAAGTATATACCCAAGTGATTATAATAGTAGCGCCTTCTGCAATACGACTAGAAGGCGTGTTTATTATTAAAACCTCTGAAATTATATAGGTAAATTGTTAAAAAAGCTTATACTTAAATTCGAATAGATTAGCAATTTCTTACTGCATGTCATTAAGACCAGTGTTGTCAGTGGACATGGACATGGATATGGACCGTCCATGGACATGGACGTCCATGCCCATGGACAAACAAAAAGCTATGTCCATGTCCATGGACAAATGCTATATGTTTAGGAATTAATAAAATCAATCCATAAAATCAACGCCATTGCTGTCAATAAACATGAATATTAACTCAAATATGTTGTACGTCAAATTAAAATTTGCATATGATCAAAATTTAAATCGTAAATTTGATTAGAGTGGAAGTCTATGTTGGAGCAAGAGTAAAATTTAAGACATTAGGAATTTTCATAACAAAAATTTTTTTAGCCGATTAGATTTCTTGTCGACCAGCCAATAGCATGCTTGGACAGTGGACATTGTCCATGGACATGTCTATGGACATATGTCCATGTCCAATCATTTTATTGGACATTTGTCCATGTACATTACTTACGCAGAATGATCATGTGGACATGGACATTGGACATTGTCCATGGACGTCCGTGTCCAACGATTTGACTTGGACGTATGTCCATGTACATCACTGGTTGGTGTGGTAGGAATAGCGACTTGAATTACAATTGCTGTGATAATCAAGAGATCCGAAAGCAAACTTGAAACTATCCTATAGCACGTGCTTTTTTAATTAACTTATGCTTCACTTCTAATTTTTATATTTGTTCATTATTTTTAGGATTATTTTCTTACTCTAGCTTCAATATATTACAGTTAGGACGATTTTGATTATACCAGTTGGGTAAAAAGTCTCTAAGCAGTACTTTTTTGCTATCTCTACTAATATTAAAAGTTTTTATAAATCTATATATATGGCACTGTATTTGCAATGTTATTTAGTGATTAACAAAAAAGTTCTGTCTCAGGACTTTTTACTCACTTGTATATATAAATTTATAAGCATTTAATATTAGCAGAGATAGCAAAAAAGGTCTGTTTAGGAACTTTTTACCTACCTGGTATATAATAGGCTACTATACTAATAATAATTTTATTAGATCATACTAAGTAATTAATAATGATTTACTATATTATAATTTGGGTTTAGTTTTATTTTTTATTCAAAAAGACTAATTATATTTTATAAAAAGATAGTATTATATATATTTTGTATATATGAATAATAACTTTATAAAATTATTTGGTTAATTTTTATCTGTGTTCTAGGAATTATAAAAACAGCTGTAATACATAAGTTACACTAATTTAATACTTAATGCTAGCCCAAAATTAATCTAGCCAAAATTAATATTAATGCTAGCCAAAATTAATTTTAGTATAGCCAAAATTAATCTTAAAGCTAGGCAAAATTAATCTTAATGCTAGCCAAAATTAATTTAATGCTAACTTGCCTTATTGTTAGTAATTTTCAGGTCAAGTATGGGTCGAATTGACTCTTAACCCAAACCCTACTTGAAAATTTTCAGGTTAATTTTTCTTGACCCAAATCTGATTCAAACTTTCAGGTCAGGTTTTTTTTCAGGTTGATCTGACCTGATCAGAATACTAAAGTTGTAGGTTTTGAATTTTGTTAGTGATATTGTATATAGTATTTCTTATGTACTTCAAATTTTTTGTGATGATTAATTTCTGTGTAGTTTCTATGTAGTTCTGTGTAAAATTTCCATAAAGTGATTTAATTCTGTACTTGTAAAAATAATGCCCACTGATAGTAAGTCTATTTAACTGATCTAGTTATGTAATTTATTAGAATTAAATGAATGGCCAATTTTGATATTTGTAATTTAAACTACAATATAGTTAAAATAAATATATATGATATATGAATAAGAGTATCTCTAATAGAAAACCAGACTTCTGGTTTACAAATTTATTTCATGTTAAACTCAATCACTATAAAATCTAATATATTTTATAGAGATATTATCCTGCTTAAATTAGTTAGTTTGTGCTTGAAAACTTATTAAACACTGTTTTAAAGTACACACAAAAAACTGGATCTCAAACTCTGTTTATAGAAATTTATTATTGATTATACTTGCTAAACATGCTGATCTGAATCATGTTATTATTTATTAAATTGCTATTAAATATATAAAAAATAATTATAATATTTATTTTACTACAACTATAAATTATTATTTAATTTATTGACATTTCATGTAATCAATAACATTTGTTTCATACTAAGTTTTTAAGCAAAGACTTGTGTAAATATTTTTTTTGAATAATAGATTGTGTATTAAGCAAATTGTATTCTTTGCTTTAGAAAACATTTTTTTACTAGGAATACTTGTAGCTTGTATAACTAAGTAGTCTTATGCTATCTTTACAAGCCTAAAGTAATATGTATCAGCAGATCATATTTTCCAGAAATCTAGTGAGTTACTATACTCTTCAATAGCAGTAAAATATTCTTCAAGAATACTATGAGTATTATTTTTGAATTTTTATTGTAAAGTTTTCTGAAATAATTTCTTAAGGAATTATTGATATTACTAGCAAGAGGTAAGGAACAAATATCTTCTTTTGAATATTATGCATAAATACTATATATAAGTTCACATATAATTAGTGTTATTTTATTATTAAAAGATAATAATTTTATACTTGAGTCTAGCACAACAGAAATATTACAACAATTTGAAGAATAGCCTAATAATTATCAAGTTTTTTGTATATTCATTATGCAATTTGACTTTTTATTTAAATTTTACTTGTTAATACTTCATGTAAAATATTTAAAATCATTAGAAATATCAAATATAAATCTTCTATTGTTAGGTAAGTTTATGAAGATAAAATCAGTTTAGCCATAGCCATTGGCTCAGGTAATGTAATAATTATCTAATAAAGATAAATAAATTAAATTTATAAATTTTTAAATATATAGACTTAAATATTTACACTAATTTCATTCTATTTATTATCAGTTAGATAATGATCCTTTAATATTAAATTATCTTCAACTTAGTTAACAGTTATTTCATAAATTCTAAATATCTTTTTAATTATAATATATGTGCTATTCTATCGAGTAGGTATATCTAAGTTAGGTATAAGAAAAGGCCTTCTGCTTATTTGAAAAATCCTTTTGAGATCTTCAAATAGCAGTTAAAATTTATATATATAGCTTGTAAAGTTTTTTAACTTCAAGATTGAATTTATAATAATTTTTATACCTTCTGAAACTAAAAGATTTAATATATAAGCAGTACAGTAGATATGTTCAAAATCTCTATTACTATAATTGTAATAAAGCTTTTCATGAAATATATATTCAAATATATCTATATTAAATACATTATCAGTAGTTGCAGATACTATACAGGAGCCAATATTATAAAATGATATTGTTTCTAAATTTTTTCAGTTATGCAATTGCCAGTATATCATTTATATAGTAGTATTATATCAAATAAAATTTATTTCATTGTTCAGATTTTGTTAATTCAATAAAGTATAATAGCAAGGAACTCAGTATTAGTATATGAAGTCCAAGTGTCTGTTGTAATTGCAAATTTTTGCTAGGTTGTATTAAAAAAATAATAAAGGTCATATTATTTTTAATGATATAATTTTAAAATACTTTGCAAAACAAACTGTTTTGATAGAAAAGAATATTGTAATATTAATTAATTAATAAACAGTTAAAAATCTTTATTTTTAATAATAAAAAATGCTTATTAGTCTGTATTAATCTATTTAAAAAGATATTAATTAATTAATTTATTTTTTTTTATTATTATTAAGGTGACCTCCTTAGCCAATTAGATTTTATTAGTTTGTTATTACAGAACTATCACATGAATAGTTTCCTAAGATTTTATAGTTATATAATGAGTGTACAACAAGCCACATATACAACTTTAGTCATTGTCTAATTTAAGTAGTCCACTATGCAGACAATTGACTATCTGTTAGTTTTACACTATGCTATCATACCTGCAACCTGCCTTTGAATTACCTATTTAAACACTCTGATCATTAACTCTTCCCTCATTTCAAACTAATGTCACTACTATGACCAACTGCTTAAGCTAGCCAGTTCACCCATAGATCTATTCTCTGCATAGCTTAGGTCCTCTCAAGATGCATATATCCAACGTATTGTGAGCTGCAGAGCTCCAGTTAATCTTAGAAGTATATTTACTAGAGTAGTCTATACCCATTTTACAGATTCATCTAGCTTAGACCCTTGTAGATGTTCATACAACTCTAGTTTCTACTGTGGCTCTCTACTAGTTTTTTGTATCAATCTTCTTGAATGTTTCACAAGGCAGATCCTCCCAATTCAGTTAGCTGCCAAGCCAAGTTGGTATTACCAATTCTCCCTGTAGAATGGATTTATGCACACCTAACTCGATCTGTATCTTTTAATGATAGTTTCCTTTCTGAATTAAGTGTTAACCAGTGTGACTGTTGAAAGCCATACTACTTCACCAACTTGGGATTTCTACTATGCAGATCCTCTGCTTATAGATCCTATCAAGATTTATTCATGTAACATTATGCACTTTGTCACACTTCCAATATCTGAATAATATTAGTGCAATATAATTTATAGAGTTACAACCCCAGAAACAGATAGAGTTTACTATAAGTTGGGTACAAAGGTCTGAGTAATTATTCAAATTTGTCGACAGTAGGATTTGAATCCCAGATCTCTTGCATAGTGGTCTGGCAACCTAATCACTATACTAAGATTACCAGACCTATATTAATTAATTTATATAATTGTTTCTAAACTATATAGTTCAATATTTGCATTAATAGCAGTATTAAGTTTATTCTACTTTTCTGAATGATTATATTTAAAATATAACTTAATTGTAATGAAATCTATATCTATTAAATAGAAACTCTGACAATACTTGCAATGTTATTTGTTACTAGTTTCAGTAAGTTCATTCTAAAAGAGATCCTTTTTTAATTATTTTTAAGGATAGTTTATTATTTCTTTGAGTATATTTAAATCAAGTTCAACTTGAGATGTCAAACTTGAAGAAGAAATAAACTCAATTATATTTGC